TTTGTCAAGATTGCATTGGCTGTACGGGATCTTGTGTGGTTCCACGTGCGTTTTAGGATTATTTAATCTATTTCTGTGAAAAATGCCATTAGAATTTTGATAAGGATTGCATTGAATCTGTAGATTTCTTTGGGTCCATGGACATTTTAACAATATTGAGTCTTCCAGTTCATGAGCATGAAATATTTATCCATTTATTTGTGTCTTCTGCCATTTTTTTCATTAAGGTTTTATAGTTTTCAGCATACAGGCCTTCCATCTCCTTGTTTAAGTTTATTTCTAAGCATTTTATAATTTTTAATGCTATTGTAACTGGGATTATTTTCTTATTTTCTCTTTCTTTTCTTTTTTTTTTAAGATTTTATTTATTTATGTGACAGGAGAGAGAGAGATTGAGAGCACAAGCAGGGGGAGCAGGAGAGGGAGAAGCGAAACAGAGGACCCTGGGATCATGACCTGAGCTGAAGGCTTAACCGACTGAGCCACCCAGGCACTCCCTTAATTTTTCTTTCTGATAATTTGTTATTAATATATAGAAACACAATAACTTTTTATAGTTCGTTGCTCACACTGGTGAAGCAATGTATCATCTCCTCCAGTTGTTGAAAGTAATATATGTAATTTTTTTTCCTGAAGCAAAATGGAGATAACTTCAGTATTGATACAGACATTGGCAAACCAGGCACCCCAGTTTATTGATATGTGGGCACAAGTGTAGCCTTGGCAAACTTATGGAGGAGAAAAGTTACACTGTCATTCTTTTTCCTCTGCTTTTTGTGAACTTAATAGTTAATAAAGCTCTTTTTATCATCTGTCCAAAGTAACAAAATCCCACAAAAACAGAGAGGTAAGTAGATGATGATAGATGATAGATAGATAGATAGACAGACAGACAGGTAGATAAAACCTTTTATTTTGGACATATTCCTTGTCTCAGCCTTACCACCAAAATCTGGGAGCATTTTCACAAATGTACAGTACTTGCATGAAAAAAAAATCAAACATTAAAATTTATTAATATGCTACATATTTATATTTTTAGGAAGATATTGAATATCTACCCTAAAATGTAATCTCCATCATTGGTGAGCCTGTTATTATTCTTTTGAGCTTCTCTAGCTGGGTTAGGTTTCCCTCCTGTTAGTTTCCACAGTAAACTTTTACCTCAGCCCTTATGTCATGCTATCAGTTTTATTTTATTGATTTGACTCCCTGTATCATCCAGGTCTCTGTGATTACGTGCAACCAACAATGAACTTTACCAGATTAAATTAAGGGGCTTTATTGATAGAACATCAGGAGCTCATAGTACCAAGGAAAAGATAGAAGTAACACAACTGGAAATGGGCAGAAACAAAGTTTGCTTCAGAAGACTGGACGTATGAACCATAAGGAAGGGTCTTATTGTCGAAACAACTTGGACAAGGCACCCTACTGGAATTAGTGTACCTAACCATTTATGGCTCCTCTTAATGTAATCAATATTCTAAGAATGGCGGTATCATTACCTAACTTGGGTCACGTGCCAATATCTTGGATGGGTCAGGGAATTTGATACATAAAACAGTACTTTGGAAACACCATACCATGACCGAGGTAGCCCTCCAGAATGAAATCAGGAGCTACTGGGAAGGTAGAAGATATGATGACAATTAATGAGGAGCATATGGTAGCTCTTTGGGATCAAGAACTATGTTTTTAATGTTTGATCTCAGTTCCAAACACACTGCTTCCGTAGAGTGTATGCACGATTAATTTTGACTCATGCTGCTAGAAGTAATTCAGATTGCCATATTTTGGAAAGATTTCTCCCACCATAAATATATCCATTCCTTTTGATTTAGTTTTGGTCCTTAATTCTTATTTTCCTTTAGTCCTAAGAAATATATCTTAAGTAAATGATGAAAAGAAAAACAAAATATACCGAGTACAAAATATGTACTAGCTTCAAAGGATGCAATAATGAATAAGGCATGACATCTTTCCTTCATGGGTTCCCAGCTTTTAAAGAGAGTCAGACATTTAAACCAATGACTAGTGTGATATGAGCTGTCTTGCAAACTGGTACCAAGAAGACTGATATTCTTCACAATATTATAACCTAAAATTCAGAACCACCAAAGTCTTTAACTGAAATATACATTTTTACAAGTTCATTCTATGAAATATTATTTAGACATGTAAAGGATACTTATATCACATTTATCTTTAGGTAGATAAAACATATATATGTGTGTAGAAACAGAATTAAATATGTTATGAGCACTATAATTGTGGCTCTGTAAATAAATATTCATGCATGAGGATATGGACAAAGACTGAAAGATAACATTGAGAAGTAAAAATAATTATTTCTAGAATGATGAATGAATTTTATATTTCAATTTCTTTTAATGCTGTTATATAGTAAATGAATTTTCAAAGGTATGTTGGGACTATTTATTCAATGATTTGATTGTTCAACAGAAACAAAATACACTGAGATTACTACTTGCCTGTTAATGGGATTTACTCTATCTTTTTACAGTTGTGATTCTTGTTGTGATTGCCAGGGGAGACTCTCCTTAACTCTTACCATTTATGTATTCCCCCTTTACTTTTTAACCTATTTCTTCACATTATCTGTAATTTGTAGGTTATAAGAAGTCCAGTAGATTTTAGCTATATTAAATGGCTGTTTTGATTCATGTTAATATATTTAACACTGCTATTGAATAGTGCCTCTCTAATTAAGAGTCACAAGTGCTTTGAACTCTCTATTAGCAATACACAAGTAACCCTCTTTGCTACAAACCTGTCTTTTCTCCGGGTTTCTCTATTTCTATAGATTTTTTCAATTTTGTAGGTTCTAATCTTTGCTCTCAACAAAGAGCAATCTCTTTTCTATTGCCAGAATTAATACTTTAGTTCAGCCTTTGTTACCATCTACTTGATCAATGTTTGTTGTTTCTTTCTTGATTTCCACACCCTAATTTTCTTCTGTTCCATTTTTGCCTTCATACTGCTGCTATATCACCCTAACAGAGGCTCTAGCCATGTCATATGCCTGCGTTAAAATATCCAGTGGACTCTGACTTGGCTACTAAATTTAAATGCATACTTTGCTGCTCAATTTTGGAACTTCCTTCCTACTTTGTAGCATTTTTCTGGAGCATTTTCCTCATGCTCACTCTACTGCTACCCTGTAAACCAGCAGAAAAACAGCTGAGTCTTCTTCCTATTATCTCTGCTTATACTGTTCCCTTCACCTAGAATGCTCTCCCTCATTCTTGCCTTAATCACTCAGCGGCTCATTTTAAAGCTTTCCCTTTCCATCGTGTCTTTTATTATTATCACAAATGGATTTAACGTCCATTCTCTCCAAATATATACAATTTTGTTTGTGCCCTCTTTTTTTAATCTGCTTTATCTTAGGGCTATTTATGTGACTATAAATTCTATGAAGACAAAAACAACACCTTTCTCATCTTTATATCCACCAACAACATCTAATACAGAGTACTGGCTTATTCAAAGACATTTTGTTTTCCTGTTTAAATTTCTTATTCTTACGGAAAATACAGAGGGGAGATCAGAAGATAGGGGTCTTAAGCAAGGAAGAATAGGAGAGAAAGAGGGACTAAGAGAGGGGAAAACACTTAGTGCCTTCTGGAACTCATACAATGAAGCTGAACCTCCTTTAAGTATAAAGAAAAAAGAATTTTATGTAGTTATTTGTTTATCAGTTATTATATGTAAAGCCCAGGATTTGGGTAACTTAATATAGGAACTATTTTAGTCAACTAAAGTGCTTTATTTTCTATTACTTCTCTAATATGCTACTAGTTTTATGGGTTTTTTTTTTTACATTTAATACTCTACTAGTTTTATGAAATACCTTTGGTTTTTATTTTTATCAAAGTATTATTTTGTAAGAATGTTCCCCTGCGAAGGAATGTAACTGCCTATGGAAAACCAAATCAGTGAAAGTAACACAGCCAAAATCTGAATGGGTTTGGATACTTTGATCAGACCATATCTTTGTCTTTATCTTCCTGGGTCCCCAATGCTTAGAGGCCCCTTTCTTCCACTGAGATCACAGTTTCAGATCCAAGCATGTTAAAATTCACTAAGTTTAGTTTTTGTCTATCCTACCATAAGCACCCTAACAGACTGATGAGCCTAACAGCATATTCAAATCAGCTTTGCCCAAGAAACACACATCTCAGTGGATAATCTTAGACCAGCCTATTGCAGATATTTACATATATTAATTATGCATACCCTTCCCTGGCCAGAACCTGAAAAACTGCCTTTAAAAAAATTTTTTTAGGAGCTCCTGGGTGACTCAGTCAGGTAAGTATCTGACTTAAGCTCAGGTCATGATCTCAGGGTCCTGGGATCAATCCCAGCATAGGGCTTCCTGCTTAGCAAGGGAGTCAGCTTGTCCTTCTGCCCCCCCACCTGCCCGCTCATACTCTCTCTCTCTCTCTCAAATAAATAAAATCTTTAAAAAAAATTAGTGTTCCTAAAGAGATGAATTTTAGAATAATATTTAAAGTTTCCAGAGATATGAAGCAGTGCTTGATTAGTTAGTAAAGCATTGAAGTAAATGTAATCCTCTATGTAAATTACAGTGAACTGTTACAAGGCATTCTCTTTCTGATTGAGAATGTGAAGTGTACACTTATATTTCTCAGATATACTTGGAATTAAAATATGAGAAAAGACAGACTCCTGCTTTTTGTAGAAGTAGTAACCTTAAAATAAAAGCTGATTATGCAAGAAATAAATATTTCCAGTGGGAAAATAATGCCATTGGACCTCACCAATACAAAATTCAACAGAACTTATTTTATGTACTTTCAATGAATTTTTATATACAATTTTTAAGGTCTCTGATATATACAAATTTCCATTGTATTCATTTTCCTTGAGTGTGATGTTGCCATTGTATTGTATTTTACAGTAGTCACATGGATCTATTGGTTGAATCTATTTCTCGCTTTCTCTTTCTCTAGCCTCAGCAAACCTATCCTGAAAGGAATGAGAGCTCTCACGTTGAGACAACAAAGGAAGAAAATCCCAACACCACTGAGTGCAATTCTCAAAATGTAAGAATAACTTAAAATGGTTTTCGTATCATGCAACATGAAAATAAGAGCGTAGGCATTTTAAAAATTCTAGTTCATGCCACCATGAAACTGTCTGTATGTGATATCTACTATCTAAACCCTGTACTTTAAAATTTGTCAGTGAAGTAGGTATTCTGTTAGGAAATGTAACCCGACTCTTAGGAGTACTATGAAGTCGAGTTTTCAGAGAGGTAAGAAGGTAACCACGTGCCCAACAATGTGCTTATTCCCACAACCACATGACAGAAAGCTGTTAAAGTATTTAAAACAAAAACAAAACCCCAAAGGGTGTGATTCAATAGTATTCTCCCTGTAAAGCAAATAAACCCAGCAAAATAGAGACATTACATTGAAGGAAGAGAGATTGTTAACCTTCAAATGATAATAGGAAATACATAATTGTGCCCTTTTTTATTTCTCCTAGTAATGTAATGAAATTTTAATAATGGACTTTGGCACAATTACAGACCTATAATGTCTGGATATGAGAAACAGCAAATGACAACTGTGTTGAGTAGATTCAAAGTTAGGCTTTAATTGATTTGACAAAAAGAAAGGTATGTGCTGAAGCTATTCATGATTGAAAAGAGATCAGGCTACAGCAAAGAAAATAAGGTAGAATAGACACATAAGTTAACAGAGTCTATTCTTTTTCTTCTATTGGCTGCCAAAGAGAATTTAAAAATACGAATTTCTCAACAATTTTGGCTTCAAATCTTTGTATATTTGAACATGTACCAATTCAGAACATAATAAAATTGATGAGAAGTAAAAATGAAAATCTCGGCAATGGCCAAATGAAGAACTCAAGAAGGTTTTCTGTAGGAAGGAACATTTTTGCTAAAGACAGACAGGTCTCTGACAGTGTGAGTGAATGTGCAGAGACAAGAAACCAGAATAAAATGACTAGAGAATAGAGTGCAGAAAGTTGTGGGATATATGCCTAAAAGGATAATTTTGGACTTAAATATGAGAGACCCTGGATTCCCAAGCTGAAGAGTTTGGTTTTTAATTAAGGTTATAGTTCAGGTTTTCAAATGTTTGTGTCCAATTAAGTTATGAGACAATAGGGTTAATTTTAAGGAGTAATGTTTTTATTTCTTGATATATTTTCTTAAAATTACCAAAAAATCATTTTGCAATATAGACAATACCAAATCATTATACTGTACACTTAAAACTGGGTTCTGTCTTAATTGTGTATCACTAAAAAAAAGGAAGGAAAAGAAAAGAATCTTGGAAGCTACACCCTTATGAGTAATGTTCAGGCTTGATCCTTAAAAGTACCACTTTGAGCTCTTAGATTAGGAGGAATTCAGTTGCCTTATTCCTGCCTCTGTACTGACCGTGAGCATATGTATGCCTTGAGCAAACCGTTCTTGTAATGAGGTGGTAGAAGCATCTAAAGGGACAAAAGAACTGGAACTTCATCAAGCTTACCAAACAAACAAACAAACAAACAAGATGTTCCCATTGGAGACAAAGCTGAAAAGTACTGTGTGTTTTGCTCAGATTCCCAAAGCAAAATTTTGGTCTACTTTTCTTATCAAGAGTGAGACCTGCTCAAAATCATAAGTTGTTTTTGTTTGTTTGTTTGACTCTCCTTCTACTTTTATTGTCCTTTTTTGTCCCTGAAAATTCCTTTCCCTTCAATAAGTCTCATAAGCAGCTACTACCTTGTTGCAAGTTCCAATCTGGGTCCCTTCAAAAATCTGCCTCCACCTGCACCAAGGTGAATGCTCTCTCTCTAACCTAACCTCTGTCTAGATTTTAGTCCTTGGAGTTTCTACTTCCAAGAAGCTACACTTTGTAGTAGAGAGTGCTCAATGTTCATAGGCTGTAGACTCAATTACATTTAAAGGCTGCGAGAGTAATATAGATGAGTGAAATACACCAGATGTAAGCAGTAGGAATTAGTGGAACTGGTGTGAACATCAATTTTCAAGTTTTAGACCTGCAGTTCTTAGCTGTCCTCAAAATAGCATCACCTGGAGAGTTCTTATAAAATACTGATGCCCAGAGCTGACATCAGAAAAATTAACTCAACATCTTGGCATGTGGGGCCTAGACATTAGTTGTGTTTATTTTTTCATTACTCCAGGTGATTCTAATGTGCAGTCGAGTTTTACTGCCAATGTATTTCACGTGTAAATGATAGTAAAAATCATGTGGGGAGCTTTTAAAAATTAAGATTCTGAAAAATTCTTCAGGAAATTATAAATGAATAGGACTAAATGTAACCTCCATTTTTGTTTTTTTTTTTAACATGGACCTGGCAAGCCTCTTTCCAATCCAGGTGATTCTAAGGTGGATGGTTTGTGAGCCATACTTAGAAAAACTTTGGTTTAGGTAACACATAATCCCTTTACTGTATTGTTTAATAATGGATTTTCTGCTTTTCTGACTGTCTTATATTTACATTTAAAAGAGGGCAGTGCCTAAATTAGGCTCTATATTGGTAATATGAAAAGCTGTGTATGACCTTTGATAGTGGGTGGGAGAGATCCATCCCAAAACCCTTCATTTATTATGTAACCTATATAAGACCAGTGTTGATGTAGGACTGTGGAATTGATCAGGAAGCTGTTACGTGATTTCATCCATTGCTGAACTCTCCATGAGAAATCTAGTGGACCATCATCACCCCAAGCTACAGTAACCAGAGTGTGATTAATTTTAAGCATGGAGAGCTTAGTTCTTTTGCAGGATTCCCCAATGCTGAGACCAATTCTGCTGACTTCTTCAACCTTACAGAAAGAAAGCAGGGGACTCTTTTTTTTTTTTTTAAGATTTTATTTATTTATTTATTTATTTATTTATTTATTTATTTATTTATTTGAGGGAAAGAGAGAGAGACAGAGCGAGCACAAGCAGGGGGAGAGGCAGTGGGAGAGGGAGAAGCAGACTCCCTGCTGAACTGGGAGCCTGACATGGGGCTCCAACCCAGGACCTGGAGATCACGACCTGAGCCAAAGGCAGACACTTAACCATCTGAGCCACCCAGGCACCCCAAAGCAGGGGGATCTTTGGATCTATGAGAACTGTTGTTATTCAGCTTGTCTAAAATCACCCAGAATATTCTCATTTGTGTTTAATATCATGCAATGTGGTTGCTTCCATTTTAATACAGCAATATGAAAATACCTTCAACTTGACTTTAACAAGCTGCAGACTCAGCTCCAATTTGGGCTGCTTTAATTGAATGTCCAAATGAGGTATCCAAACATAGTTTCATAAAGTAAAAGCAATATAAGCAATATAAATTTACCCTTTTCTGAGAAAGGGATTAGTGCATTTTCTGTTGTACGAAAGATAGTTATATTAGACAGAAGTATGGCTTCCTTATTGTCTTTATTTGGAGATTATGGTGTAAAGTGAGGTGTATGGGTGCCATATTGACAAGGGGTGAATTTGTGATAAGATTAAGTTTATGCATCAACATGCTCAGAAATCCTGGTAAATCATTATTTCTGGCACGTCTAACAGGGTGTTCCCAGAAGAGATTAGCATTAAATCAGTAGACTAAGTAAAGAGAATTGGGTGGGAATTCTCTAATCCCTTGAGGACCCACATAGAACAAAAAGGTGGAAGAAGGGTGAATTCTTTTTCTCTTTGAGTTGGGACATGCATCTTCTGCTGCCCACAGACATCAGAGCTCTTGGTTCTTGGGCCTTCCAACTTGGGGACTTTGACCAGCAGCATACCCCCCACCTTTCTCCAGTTCTCAGGCCTTTGGCCTCAGCTCATCAGCGAACCTAATTCTGAGCACTTCAGATTTGGATTGAATTATGCCACCAGTTTCCTGATTCTCCAGCTTGCATAGGGCATAGCATGGCATATCTCAGCCTCCGCAATCACTTGGACCAATTCCCATAATAAATTCCTTCTTATATATATGTATGTATATATACTATTAATTTTTTTTCTCTGGAGTACACTGACTAATGCAATCACTTTTCCATATTTGTATTCTGCATACTTAGGGTATATTTTCAAATAATTGGTATCTGCATTTTATGAAAGAGTTTTCTTTAATCAAGTTAATCAGTTGGGGCGCCTGGGTGGCTCAGTCGTTAAGTGACTGCCTTCGGCTCAGGTCATGATCCCAGGGTCCTGGGATCAAGCCCCGCATCGGGCTCCCTGCTCCGCGGAAAGCCTGCTTCTCCCTCTCCCACTCCCCCTGCTTGTGTTCCCTCTCTCGCTATGTCTCTTTCTGTCAAATAAATAAAAATAAAATCTTTAAAAAAAAAGTTAATCAGTGCCACTTAAGTTTTATACAATGAAAGTAGATGGTAGTTGTTAAGGTAAGTTTTGATATTACTGGCCTTATTTGACAAAATTAGAGTTGGCAGTTTTATTCCCATTTCTTTTTTTAAAATTTGTTTTTCTACTCCATGAAATTCAAAAATCTAGAAACTACCAAATGAGGACATTTTAAAAATAATAAAAGTATTATAAGATAGGGACCTGAACGAAGCCAGTAACAGAAATGGTTGAGAGAAAGAAATCAACATAATATCAAACTGAGAAATCCATAGGACTTTGTGATCAAGTGAAGATGCAGAAGTAAAGATAAAAGTCTAATATAGGACCCCGATTTTCATGTTAATTAATAAAAGCAATTATATTGTTGTTCTCAGATAAAATAAAGTACCAGAGGAAGAATTTTAACTTAATTTTTGTCCATTTACTTCTAAACAGAGAAGGTTCATGTTCTTTTAATAACTAGAATAAGAAAAATGTACATTAGAGCTAATTTATTTGTAAAAAAATATGATAGTTTAAAAAACTTTGTTGAGGTGTAATTTGCATACCATAAAAATCACACATTTTTTTTAAAGATTTATTTATTTTAGAGAGAGAGAGCATACATGTGTGAGTGGGGGGAAGGGCAGAGGGAGAGAATCTTCAAGCACACTCCCCACTGAGCAAGGAGCCCTTCTCATTCATGACCCATGAGATCATACTTGTAGCTAA